TACAGGCATGCACCACCATGCCCTGTCTCAATTGCCATCTCAGCGTGCCCCAGGGGTGGGGCCGGCACAGCAGGCCCAGGTATCAATCCCCAGGTCCCTGCGTCTGCTTTCAGGCGCTTTAATCTGCTGATCTATTTGGCTGGCCTTATATCTTTTGTAGATGTTTGAAATTCTTTTAGTACCTACTGACTGTGTATTATTCTGCTTTGCCACTCCTTATATTAGGTTATTTGTAAACATTCTTTATGTTTCTCTTGTTTTTCTTGTGCTTAGTTCTTTATACCCAGAGTATGTAGATAAGATGGTAGAGTGAAGAGAGTAAAACAGATCTGGTTTTAAGGCATGACTCTCCTATTTACATGCTCTGTGATGATGAGAAAGATGCCTTACTCTTAAGTTTTGGGCATTTTCTATAAAGGATGGTATTATTCCTTTGAGAACACTGGAAAATTAAATTACTAGCCTGAATACTAACATACTACTGCAGGAAAAAACATTCCGTTTAGACTCCTTTCCTTGTGACTACAGTACTAGTACATAATTTATGTTTTCTAAATAATATTTTTTTTAAATTTCAGAAATCAGATCATACAGACACTCAGTATTCTAATGCAAAAAGAAGACAAGAACTGAAAAGGTAAATTCTCCTCTTCTTGGTATCCTATACTTTTTTGGCTGAAAAATCATAAGATGGATAATTGGATTTGGTTTGGAAATCTTTCATTTACTTTGATTGTTACTGTTTTTTGTATGATAGGCTATGATTACTGAATTTTCTTGAGAAAGAGTGAAACAAAAACTATTATATATATTATATAGTTGATGCTAAAATACAGATTTTAATCTCAGTGGATTTGGTTTGGCCACATGTTTATAAGCTACATAGCTTTGTTATGTGTGTAATACTAGTAAAGAGCTTATATAGGTAATTTTTTAAAAATGATGAATAGACAGGTGTGGTGGCACATGCCTGTATCCCAGTACTCAGAAAGCAGAGGCAGGAGAATTGATGCAAGGTCAATGCCAGCCTGGGCTACAGTGAGAACCTGTCTTTTTTCTTTTTTTTTTTGGCTCGCCTGGCCTCAGTCTTGTTATAACACACTCCATCACCTGGTTCCCAGAACTCAGATTGCGCAGTGATCTAGTCATCATTGGCCAGGGCTCGCCGCTGCAGCGGCAGGGGCCTCCTCAACCCCTCCCAGCCTAGCCTCACCCGCTGTCCCTCACCCCTAATCCTCCTGCACCAGGTCCCCTCGCTCCACTCCGCCTGACACCTTTCATAATCCTCTCAGGCTCCAGGCAAGCAGCACCGCCCCCAATAGAGCCTGATCATATAAGGAAAATACTCCGGCTCACTGGGAGCCTTACTGGGGAACCTGGAAAACTCTGGCCCACTATACTCGCTCCTTCCCTCTTTCCTACTGTCCAAACCCCAAAGCCACCCAAAAGCCCACTGGATCGTGGGCTGAACCCCGAGACCGAGGCCCAGATGACTGAGAACCTGTCTTAAAACACCAAAACCAAACCAAACCAAAATGTTTTATACACATATATGAGGACATATATTACATTAGTAAAGCTAAAAAGTTCGCATTGATTATAAGAGCCAGTACGCTTTTTTTGTGTGGTACCAGGGATCGAACTCATGTCCCTGTGTTTGCCAGGCACACGCATATGTCACTGAGCTATATCCCCAGCATAGCATTGATTACAGCTAGAGAAATTGAGGAATTATTGTAGGAATAATGGAATTATTTTTCGTTAATTTATTAAAATTTTTTTTTAAAATTAGTATATATTTGCAGTACACAATGGCTGCATTCATCATGGGGAGTTGGTATATGTATAAACCACATCTTTATTCTTTTGCATCCTCCTTCTCCCTCCCCTCTAATTTCTTCATTCTTGGAAGGCAGCTATGCTTACCACTATACCACTAACACCTCTTCTTCATTCTTTGGATAAAAATTTCAGAGAATTTGGGAATGAAGGTATTTCTTGCCATTAAATGGAGTTCACAAATATAAAATATACAATGTATGACAAAAGATGGTAAGGTCAAGGTATCTCTGAAGATAGGGAATAACAGGAAAACAGTTTAAATGGCATTAGATGTATAAATATTAAGTTCTGCTTCCCAAATAATCTCAATTAATATCTGGTAAAAACCAAAAGTAATTTGAACAAATCTCAACTTTTCTCAGGGTTTTTCTTTTGTTGTTGTTGTTCTTTTTTCTTTTTGAGAGAGTCTTGCTATACAGTTCAGGCTGGCCTTGAACTTGCTTATGTGGCCCAGGTTGGCTTCGTACTGATGACGATCCTCTTGCCTCAGTCTCTGAGTGCTGGATTACAGGCATACATTAGTCCATCTGGCTCAGTTTTGTTTTAATATATTTTTTTCTTTTGGGTAGTGGTAGTACTTCGTATCTATATTGTTATCTGTTAGAAGTATATTTTATCAAAA